TCAAAAGAGGAATCGATGCCGGCCTTGCTCCCTTCATTCTAATCATCCGGTCATCTTCTTACTACTTTTTAGGTTTCCCTTTCCTTAAATTTTCATAGAGATAGAGGACATACGTGGTAAGATTAACAATGTATGTTTGAAAATTGAAACTCAATTATGGAACAAAAGTTTAACCCTAAAACACATCAAACAATACTTTAAATAAAACTAGTTGGTGACATGGGTGTAACTATATTGGTTAGAGCATATATGTTCTCCTTATGCACTTGAGTTCGAATCTTCATTCTTGTAGTTTAAATTAGTTAGTTGATGACATGAACGTAACTACATTGGTTATAGCAGATATGCTCTCCTTATGCACCTGAGGTCAAATCTCCGTCCTTGCGGTTTAAATTAATTTAAACTAGAACATCGGTAAAGTATTATTTATCCTAGAAAAATGTTACATGCTAAACATCGTTGGAAGTTAAACTGTGGAGAAAAATAAGTGAAATATGTTTGAAAAAGAGGGGATTATCTGGAAATAAAATCACCATACAACACATCAATATCAAATATATTTTAAGAACAATTAGCAACCAAGAAAACGTTCCCACAATTTCCAAAGGAAAAGTGGTAGGCATGCCAGTTTGTGAGACTAAAAACATGATAATATAATTTTTTTTTTTTTTTTTTTGAAACCAAATGCCATATCATAACAAAACAAGGCCTACAAAGAGGCAAACATAAAGACAATACCAAGCAGTGTCAGGGGATAACCCACAACGACCCCTCCACCAAGTAGAGGCGTCATCCCCAGCACCACCATAACCCATTAATGAGGGCAAGGTAATCCGTCATTGTTCAATACATAGACCAACGAAGATGGGGGCCTAACGACCCAAACAACATCACTCATCTCCGAAAAACCAATCGATGCAATCTTGTGAGCCACGCCATTAGCAGACCGTGGCACCCAAGACCATCGGCAATCAATGAAATCCCCCCCCAACTGTTTAACCCGAGCCAGCACCGGGTATGCCTCCCAACTACCCATAGACAACGAGCTAGAAAGACATTTAATCGCATCCAAGGAGTCCGATTCCAGAATTACATACCTTACACCCAGCTCTGCACCTAGCCTGCACCCGTGCAACAACGCATAAGCCTCCGCTGCTGCAGCAGAAGGAGCATTAATAGGATGCCGCGCAGCAGCCACGAACTTGCTCTCTATGTCCCTCACAATCACTCCAACAAAACCCATTTTTGATGCCTTGGACCAGCTAGCATCCACATTAATCTTCACAAAAGGGTAGGTCGGAGCACACCATCTCGTAACCTGAAAATTCCTTCTTCCTTCACCCCCTCCTCTCTCCCCATCCTTTGCCTTTGCACTAATAAACGATCTCACCGCCTCAGAGATAGCAGCCAGGACCTTTAACGGGTTAATGGGCACCTCTTTGAAAACAAAATCACAGCGAGCCTTCCATATGCACCAACAGGTAAAAACAATATATGATTGTCTCCACATTATATCTCCAGAGTTGCATAAATTCGGAGAGAAAACCCCCTGAATCCAGTCCGACCAAGAAGGGAGAGAAGGATGATCCATTTTATAACCCAATGCCCCTCCAAACCAAATTGGCTCAACCCAAGAGCAGGAAAGGAACATGTGCTCAATGGTTTCATCATGGCAGCAGCAAATAGGACAAGTAGAGATTTGAGAGGACCTTCGTCGGAACAATGCATCCCGAGTAGGAAGACAATTGTGAACAGTAAGCCACAAGAAATGCCGTAACTTGGGGGGCACCTCCAGCTTCCAAATCCCCTTCCAAAACTCTTTGGGAACCCCACGAACAGAAGGTCGACGCAAATCCCTTCTCGCCATCGATCTTCCTTGCAGCCATCTATATCCCGACTTGACCGAATAAGCACCGTTTTTACTCGTATCCCAAATAAGCCTATCTTTACGACTTAAATCTCCAAGAGGCGTCTCCTTTATAGCCTGCATAGCCTCCTCCGATATGAAGGGTTGTAAAAAGTTAATATTCCACCTCCCCGACTCCGGACAGATAAGTGCACTGACCCTTAGACTGGGAGTAACCGCAACCTGGCCAACCGGCTCCGGGTGTCCAAGGGGCAAGGATGGAAGCCACCTATCCTGCCACACTCGCACCTCCTGACCACCCAAAATCTGCCAATGGGAGCCCTCCCTAATCAAGTCCCTTCCACAGATGAGGCTACTCCACGCCCAAGAGGCCCGCCCACCCTTCTTCGCATCCCATATCGAGCTATGTGGAAAATACCGAGCCTTAATCACCTTAGCCCACAGCGAATCCGGTTCCGTAATTAAACGCCAGCACTGTTTAGCAAGAAGAGCTTCATTAAATTCCTGAAAGTTTCTGAAGCCTAAACCACCCATGTCTTTTGGCAAACCCAATGTGTTGGAAAACAATAACTTTACATTCTCCATAATAGTAAATTACTACATTTCACGAAAAAGCTTTCCTTCATCATCAACCGATGAAAACTTGTTCTAGAAAAAGCACTCCGCAACATCACGGAGAAAATCAATGAATTAATAGTTTTTTATATTCACTTTTAACAAGATTTAATCCAATAATTTATTTTTAAAACGTCCATATACACGAATCTTGCGTGTATAAATGGGTGAAATGGTTATCTCTAATTAACGTTTTCTTGTTTTTGACTTCTTGACACCTACTGCCTTCAACTGTTCATGTAATATATAAATTTGACTTAATTAATTAAGAAACTCACTTGTGTAGAAATTTGGTATGATTTTTCATTTTATGTCACGACGTTAATGTAAATTATAAATTAAATTAAGTTAAGATTTTTGAGTATGCATATAGATGCGGAAATACAATAAACAACCAATACGTAAAAATTATAATCGTGTTTTATGTCAAAAGTGCATATTAGATGGGTATTTGCATTATATATATATATATATATATATATATAAAGCTTTTAAGGGAAATGATTCTTTTTTTTTATTTTTTTTATAAAAATAGGGATTAGTTGTTGGATCCACACCACATTGAACTTTAACGATCCGAATCGTTTATTTTTCAAGTTGCACCTGATAGATCACCCTTACACAATATTAGCCAAATCGAAAATATTGAAGACATCTAATTGTGTTAAAAAAAATTAACGAATATTTTGTTATATAAGAAACAATAAAACTTTATCTTGATAATTAAATAAGAAAATGGTTTCGGATTGAATTGGGTTTTTGCAAAGATGATCTATGAATCGAGACTTACAAAATAAACAGTTCAGATCGTTGAAGTTCATATGAGACGACCAGTTTTTCATCTAAAACCCATAATCAATTATCAACCATCACGGTAATAAGAAATTGTTCTCGTAATTTAACCAATAAGATTGTTTACAGATAATAATATATGTTAAACATACATATAATATGAACCGTATCATGTGAACCACCTTAAAATATTAAAAATATTCTTACAGTTAAAAACACAAGAAGTTGTCTTCGCGGAGCAACCTTAATAAGTACAAAACATTATTTTGTCGCGAAAAATTGTCAAATATCGAAGTGGAAAGTAGACCATTGTTTTGCCTAAGTTCGTAGTTCCAATTACTTCGTGTAAATTTGAAAAAAAAAAAAAAAAAAAATACTTTGTGTAAAAGTTTGTGAAACGACACATTTTTCATCTGTCATCTGTCTCTTCACATTGTAGATAAGATATAGCACCCCGACCTCCCTATCTGCATACGCATTGGAATTTAATGATTTTAATGGGTAATGGTCAAGATATGAATAATGCGATTGAGTAAAGTTATCAAACTATTATTTTGTTAGACTTAATTAGCATGTCCTTATGTTACGTAAAAGTTTGTGAAATGAAAATTTTTGAATCATTCAACTTCATGGAGATTGATTGAATATATGCGTGGCGAAAAAAAGAATTAATAGGGTTTTCATTGGTAATAGTTTATGAAATTGACCAAAGTCATTATTTTAATCTCTCAATTTTAAAATCAATCAACGTTGTCCTTTCTAAATGGACCACCGCACATCAATTTAGTCATTCCATTTAAATTTTGTCAAGTGTTCTGTTAATGTGCTGACTAGGCACACATAAAGGGTCTATAAGTCCAACAATATGTTGTCACATTTATACAAACTTGACATAATTTATACGGAAGGACTAAATGGATGTGTGGTGGCCAATTTTAGGGATGAAATTGATTGATTTTGAAATTAAAGTACCAAAACGATGATTTTGGTCAATTTAAAAAACTATTAGTGATAAAAATCCTTTTTAAATGAATACATTCGAGGGTAAAAACAAATATAGCAAGGGTAATATTTTTTACAACTAGATGAAATTGAGCATGAAATATGAAAAGCAAGCGGTCATTTACTATGGTGGTGAAAAAAAGTTGAGCCATTGCATGATAGTTTGGATTTGAACATCTTCGATGGTTAATCTAACAACATTTATTTATTTTTTATTTTTTGAGAAAAAGTAATCCACACTTTAATCACACGCTTTAGTTGGAGAAATGAGAGAAAAAGAGAGGGAGTTTTTAAGTTTGAAACTTTTAAATAGGTTGTTTGAAATGAGAGGTTTTTCAATGAACACTAGACATTACGCCATATATTATTATATCGTTATATAAGTGAAGAAAAATTATTTTAGTATCCTCTACTTGTACAATGACAAATAACATGTATCCGTATCCCGTACACACTGAAAAACCGCAAAAAAGTAATCACGGATTCAATTCAGAAACAACCGATCCGGTTCAAAAACAATTTATTCCTCTTTTTGTATACTTTTCCGGGTCAAAAACCGCAATTTTCTTTTCATTTGGGTCCCAAAAAAAAATCATAATTTCCTAAATTCCCAATTTCCATCTAAACTTAATTTACCTCCAAACCAAATTTTTTTAATTTTCCCTCCAAATCTTTTAACAAGTCAAATCAAATGCAGCTCCATTTCTCTCCGCTCCCACCTACTCTCCTTCTCTCTCTATTTATTCAGATCATGAAATCTTTCGCCTTCCCATCTCTCTTCTTCCCTCCCCAATCTTCAACCTCTTCTCTTTCTGCAGCCCGAAATCCATGGCCTCCTTCAAGCCCTCCATTCCCCCCACCAGCGAATCTTCTACCTCCGGCGAGGTCCACGTCATCATGGGTCCCATGTTTGCCGGCAAAACCACCGCCCTACTCCGCCGGATCAAGTCGGAGGGAAACAACGGCAGGTAAATTTGGAATTTTTTATCAAACCCAAGTTCGATTTGTGAAGATTTCTAGTAAAGATTGAAGCTTTTTGTTAGATCGTTTGATAGATGCTAAATGGCACTGAAGTTTCATTTTTTTTAATGTGTAGGAATGTGGCCATGATAAAATCGAGTAAGGATACGAGATACGCCATCGATTCGGTTGTGACTCATGATGGGGTGAAGTTTCCGTGCTGGGCACTGCCTAATCTGTCGTCGTTTCGGCAGAATTTTGGTGGAGATGCTTATGACAAGGTAATTCTGGAGCTGGGAAATGTGTAAATTGTTTTTTGGTTTATCAAGTTTTATTTATTTATTAAAATTATTTTGGTTATTATTTGACTTGACTGGGGCTTTACTATTGGATCTTGGCCTTTAATTTTTGCAAAATATGTTATGGCATTGTAAAACAATTTGATGGTGTAGCCTGATGAGGTGCAATTGTACTAGTTATGTTCCCGTGATTCGGAAGGGCAATTTTTTCGCTTTGATGGTTGCAATGGTTTGATGTTCGGCATAGGTCTTGTTTAGTGTCTGTAATTTGAATTTGATGCATATGATATGTTCTAATTGCCTAATCCCTTTCGGGATATGTTGACAGCTTGATGTTATTGGTATCGATGAGGCTCAGTTTTTTGAAGATCTGTACGATTTCTGCTGCACGGCTGCTGATCACGATGGAAAAACTGTAATTGTTGCAGGCTTGGATGGTGATTACTTGAGGTGGTTTTCAAATTAAATCCCCCCTTTTCTGTTTTGCTCGTGTGGTTAGTTTCTTTAGTTGGTATTTAGTGCTCTCTTATTGATGGGTGCGTTGTTATTGTTGGCAGGAGGAGCTTTGGCTCGGTGATTGACGTAATACCACTTGCTGATTCTGTGACCAAGTTGACGGCACGATGTGAAATGTGTGGCAAACGAGCTTTCTTTACCCTGAGGAAGACGGAGGAGACAAGGACAGAACTGATTGGCGGTGCTGATGTCTACATGCCTGTGTGTCGCCAACATTATGTCAATGGACAAGTTCTCATTAAAACTGCAAGAAGTGTAGTGGAGTCCCATATATTTAAGAGTGTGAGTGACACATTTTCTGAAGCAACTCCAGTCGTTTAGTGGCAATAATAGATCTTTCACAGCCTAGTATGTCGTTCGTTTGCTATGTATTTGAATCAGGCAATTGGCTTTATCGCCTGCTGTTGTAGTCTAACCATATGGAGTTTGGACCCTAACAAGGTTTTGTTGGAATGCAGTTGGATGTATCTCTTCTTGTTATGTTAATAGACCGAAGTTTGCTTTAATGCACCACTTCTGCAGTTGTACTTTTACTAATCAATCTAATCCTTAGCTAGTTGTGTTGCTTATTACAAATTTCAATCTCCTTCGTGTGGGATCAATTTGTTAGCGTCCTTGCGTTTTTCGATTATTACATGTTGGATATATGAACGTGTAATTCTATGTACTCTTGGATACAACATTGCACAAAAATAGACAACTATCCTCATATTGATGCCCTGGTTGCAAGTGAATGAGCAAAACTACATTTTCCAATAAAATTATACATGATCAGTTATTCACGCCTTGTTTACAATCATCAGTGGTTCTGATTTTCGCACATTTTATTCTGACGAGTATTCTGCTGCATCGGCTTAGGCCATGGAGAGGAGGCAGCTGGCTTTCTCTTTGGCTTTTTACCTCCAAACAAGGAGATCCGCCGAAGGACCTTCAGCAGTCTACTGGCATACTTTCTCTGTGAGGCAAAATTCACAGAGCCAATGCAACTTGTCACTTGTCCGAGCGGGTTACTTCTTTTGCTTGTTGATCTACCTTCTTTGCCGTACAATTTCATGGTAGGTTCTGTGGTTGAGACGGGCTCTTTCTTTGAAATGCTCTGCCATTGAAGGCTCCGCTTCAAGGACATGAGCTCTTGTTCAAGGTTCTGAATTCTGAAGCTTGTTGACTCATATTCCTTCCTCGATAACTCAGGCCTCTGATTTACATTGTCCTTCTGCAGCAAGAAGCTCAAGGGTCTGCTTCCGGACTCTGCTCTGTCCACACATGGACTATCTCCGAGATTCTGGCTTTTTGAGTTTGGACACCTAGAGCTTTCAAGGCTCCCTGAAAACTCTGGACAATGTGCATATCTGAACGAATCTGAGCATTCTTTGAAAGCTTGGTGTGTGCTGAGCTGCTGGACAAAAAGCGCCTGGACAATCAAACGCAGCGGCATCAATTCGTTTTGAACAGCCTCAATGCATGCCTCTTGTGACAGTTTTTGGCAGTTGAGGTACTTGCAGACTGCCCACTTCTCTTCCTGGGATGTATTCGGGTGCGCCTGAAGATCAGAAATTACACGAGTTTCGTTAAAGTGTAGAGCTTTTTCAGTAACGACAATAGTGAAGGCAATAGAGGATTAGGCGAGAAGAACTACACACGAAGTACAAGGAACCGAACCCACAAAAATACAAGAAAGCTCATAAAGACCTATATAAAACGGTAGAGTTCATGACGAAATGTTTACCTTTAAGAAGATGTTCATTGCCCCGTAGAGTTTATCATGACAGTGTCTGTATGAAATCGGGACTCGTTCGATGAGTTCCATGAACCTTTTATGCTCCATGTTTGGATCAGGAGCTATGTGGGAAAGATATCCATCCCACAATTCTGCAACAATTGTGTTTCCTGCTGAAAGATTGTTGTCCGACTCCATGGTAGATGATACATATGTTGAAATTATGCTCTCCATTGTTGCAAGCTCCGTACTGGAAGAAATTGACTCACTCCCACTTTTTGGAAACAAGAAGTCTTCCAGCTGAGCAAAGTGCAGCAGAGATACAATCTGCCCTTCCAGCTTCACCCTACTATCGATCCTCATACCTACTTCCAGGGATCTAGAAAGAATTGCGAAGTAAAACCCGATTGGGATGGATCGACCGACCTTGTCCCCCATCGGCAGCAAATCAAGAACACCTTGTAAAATGACTGAAACTTTGTGATCATCCCCACTTCTCTGACCAGAATTCTCCCAGAATTGGAGGGTTTTCGTCGAAAGCACCCACTTGTTAGCATAGAAAACAATGATGGGGCTCAAGTACTTTTCCTTCATGCCTTGCCTTCTCAAAGATCCTATAATCCTCTTAAAAAATCCAAACGGCAGCGCAATGAGATCCTTGATCCAAAGGTCTTGACTCAGAATCTCCCTCCCCATTTCACAGCTCCAATTTCGTGTGCTCAACGCTTCCAACGTGAGCACAGGCGTGTCACGCCTTCTCTCTGGGTCAAGGATCTCCATGCAGGCCATGAAGGCGAGGCACTCTATACACCGGCTCACGATGAGCAGGTCTTCAGACCACGGAAGCAAAGTTTGGCACTTTTGCAGTACTATCAGGGTGTCATCCCAGCTCTGCATCACCACTTGGTTTAAGTAGAGATCAAAGCGCTCGCAGAGGTTTCCGGAGGAGTAGTCTTCTGTCATCTCAAGAAACTCTGCTGCACATCTGAGGGCTACCACATTGAATGGATCAATCAAGGTGGAGGAACCGTAGATGAAGAGTGCAATCATCTCGAAAGTCTCTGGCCCGCCAGGGAACCCCGGTGGCAGCTCAATCTCATTTGATTCGTTCAATCTCTTGTTGAAATATCCACTCTTTGAAAAAAGTGGGAACTGAACAAAAATCACAAATTGAAATTAGACCAAATTTTAACAATTTTGTTAAGAAATCGAGAGCCGTAATCTCCTACAGAGAACAAGTGCAAAATGATATAAACGCGATCGAGAACACAAAAGTAAACAATCACGAACAACTGACAGAAGAATTTAACTTAGCTCGCTAGCTCAAATTCCACGAATAACCAAACTGATTCGTATAATTCTACTTTCGATTTCTTACCTTGTGGAGGTTGAAGATCTTTCCGCCAACACGAACGCTAACAGAAACAGGCAAACCGGTTTCTTGTGTCCTGAGACAAGATTCACCACACATGAAAAACTCAAATAAAAAAGTGCTCAAATTTAATGCTACAAAGTTGCAAACATATTCCAACAATCTTACCATGATAAAATCTTGATCTTGAGCAAGGCGGAGACGTTCGGAGAAGAGAAAGGACTCGATGCCACGGAGCTGTCTTTTAAAGGGCTTGCAACTTCCATTGGAAGAGGTCATAAAAAAGCTGAGAGACTGGAGATTTAGTGAAGCTGAAACTTTGAGAAGGCAATGACTTATGGGAGTGCATTCTACGCTTAAGCATAAGCATGTGGTTTATAAATATAAGCATAATTTGGCTGCCCAATTGCCATAAAATGCTCGGGATTTGTCTCACTAATCGAAGAAAAGTATACATAATAACTTGTGGAATTGGCAAAACAAGTGGAATTAAGTGGAAGAATGATTGAAATTAAAGAGATGGTTTTAATTTATTAATTAATTGATTAATATGTTAAATTAGAAAATGTGTCCACGCAGACACATTCGTGCAAAATTGTTTTTGTGTAGTCATAGTCAAAGTCAAATGCACACGAGTGAAACACTCTGAATGTCCAAATTTTGAGGCTTCAAAAACGTTCTCGATTGGTGAGTAGTTGAATTCTTGGTGCAAACAAGTCAGTAGAATATGGTTAATTTCCACTCCTTTCCATGTTGTTTGCTTGCATCACAAGTTTCGTGTCTATGCATGTATGTGACTCCCCAAACTAGTACATCATCAATTTGAATGAAATTCTTAGCCATCCAATTGGTATTTATAAGCAAATGTAAGGTTCATTTTTTCCTTAATGTGGGATTAATACTCTCAACATATAGTCTCATTCGATTTAAGAGCTGGCCTAATTCGGCAACTTTGATAAAGTTCTTGAAAAGCCTAGCTACTTGATAATAAAGTTCTTGAAAGCCTAGCTGCTTGGTAATTACTAACGTCGAATTTCCTTGACCATTTCATTTAGAGGCACTAGTCTCTGTTATGTTAAAAGCTAATTTGATAATTACTAACGTCAAATTTCTATGACCATTTCATTTAGCAACATTGGTCTTTATTATGTTAAAAGAAGTTCTTAGTTCAAATTTTATGTACGATAAAAGAACAAAAAATTACCACATGACAATTGAGGGTAGTTTTGGGACATGAGAGATGATATGCAAATGCCATGCATGCATGCAGCCATGAAAAGTCTACAGAAAGAGGAGGTGGGAGATGGTGAATTGGTCATGGAGAATTGCAAAGGGATGTGTTGGGGGAAGAAGAAAAGGAAGAATGAGGTATATGTGTGAATAAACTAGTAAAACTATAGTTTTGAGGAAATGATGATTAAAATAATGATAAAAGGGGAAGATGATGGAGTGCGGGTAAAGCAGCTTGAGCTTTGTGAATGTGACATGAAGTATTTAGCAAACACCCAAAACGGCACGGCTTCTCTATATTTCTTTGGTGCTTCGGATGATGGGCTTTTGCTTTGCTTTCTCCTACCCACTCCCAATCCCCAAAACGACTTTTTCTTTGCATGTCCATGCTACTAATTTATATTTCCTTTTTATATAGGAAATGAATCATCTCTGGATCCCTTTCCACCTAATCCAACTTGTTCGGGATCCGGGTTATTGAAATTTGTTCCAATGGCTACAGTTATTATCACTTTTAAAGGGGCTCCCTGTTTATAGCCGTTTGATCAAATTTCAACAATCCGGATCCCGGACTAGGTGGAAAGGGATCCGGCGAGAATCCCTTTCCATATATATATATATATATATATATATATGTCCATATACTAAATACGTAACATGTCTTGGAAATGTTTGTTCCAAAATAATTAAACAAACCATTGAATAAGTAAAATCCAGTACCGGCTCTCAGGAGGAGCAGCTTGTACGATTACATATACGTACTAGCCTTGTGCGTATGAGCTGAGCTGTATTGTATTGTGGGTTACAGTAAATTCTCAGGGACTTTGAAGTACAGCTATGATCCTTTTGGACCAAGCAACACATTCCTTCAAATTTGCAAGGACACAATAATTTTAATCAGCCAATTAATCGCTGGCAATATATCTAAGAAATAGATAAAATATTGCTAATCTGACTCTCAATTCTTGTATCTTAAGCTTTGAATTGGCTAAATAATAAAACACTTAATTAAACATAGTACTGAGAGCACCGACTATTTTCCCAACTGATGTAACACATAATATAGCAGTAGCTTAGTCGTTGTTAATAAATGCGGTTCAGTATGCGCTCAAAGTTGAACGAACGAACGGTCGCCGCATCGCTGGGATTATGTGCCATTTGGGCAGTTTTTTGCTTAATGGACACTTGTGCAAAAACAAACTAAAACTTTCCCATAATATTTTCGAAGACCTCTAAAAGCAACATCACTATGGAGTATAGAGTACCAGCATTCATTTTCAGTACAAACCCAACTGCACAGGTCAAGAACTACAGAGAGAGAGAGAGAGAGAGAGAGAGAGAGAGTATGGGCATACACTTGAACAGAAACCCCATCAAGCGGTTGTGATGGCTCAGAAATGAGAGCCAGACGAAACTCCTGTATTATGAAACGAGGTCTTGAAAGATGAGAAGTGTCGAAAAGCCATCACAAGCTCGGGTCAGGCTCTTACTGATTGACTTCAGACAAGAAGGGATCCCTGAGAAGATCAGAGGCTGTAGGTCTTGCCCTCGGCTGGGCTATGGCTTTCTCAATGAACGCCTTCACCTCTGGATCGTTCACCTTGTTCAATGCTAAAGGCTTGATACCTGTTGTCACCTTCTTGTATATCTTAGCAACAGAGTCGCACTCGCTGTATGGTATCTCCATTGTCACCATCTCCAGCAAGCACAGCCCGAACGAGTATATGTCCACCATCTCTGTGTAATCCTCTTCATACAGCTCGGGCGCCATGTATTCAGGTGTACCTATAATCGAATGTGCTAAATGGTTCTTTCCCACTATTGCGGCAAACCCCAGATCACCAATTTTCACCTGTAAATGAAAAGCATAGGTACATTAGGTAATTAGACAAGGAAGTAGGCATATCATTTCTGAGGTTTTGTTCAACTCTTCAATCACATACGTAATGCTCTTTCGGGGTTCAGTGAACTAGACGTAGCAACGGATATTGAGGACTGTGAATTACTATGACCTTATGGTGATGCAGTGCAGAATATAGATATGGAAATGTAACATTCCAAAAAATAGGATAGGATGGAAAAGTCTGCTCACTGAAAACACAAATAAATCGAACCTCGTCTAGTGGCATGAGCTACCAAGATTCATTTTCCATCAAAGTATGTTAAAAAAGCGATCACAAGATTAAGAACACTGTCACAGATAAGGGATTACGTTCTATTGCTAGCAATACAAACCAACTCTGATGAAAAAATGCTGCCTACAAGTAATCAAATCTATGGTCACAAAAATCAGGAGAAACAAGTTGACACAAGTGATGAGTTATAATTACCTGGCCGGTATTCCCATTGATGAAGATGTTGCTGCAGTTAAGATCTCTGTGAATGATGCACGGCTCATGCGTATGGAGGTATTCCAATCCCTCAAGCACCTGTCTCGACCACTTCTTGAGAGCCTTAAGCGACACACGGGGATGCTTCTCCCTGTACTTCCTCAGGTTTCCAGAATTGCACACCTCAGTGATAAAATTCAAAGTGTTATGCGCCTCTTCCTTCCAAACACTGTGACAAACAATGATATTCTTGTTCTTCAATTGCCTCAACAACTTAACCTCAGAGTAAAGCCGATTTATGAGTGTTGGATCGTCGCTGAAATTGCACAACCGGACCTTATTCCAGGCCACCTCTGTACCTTCCTCCTGATCAAAAGCCCTATAAACCTTCTTCACAGCACCATGACCAAGGAGATCAGCATACCGCCCATACCGTCCAGTTGGATCAACCTCCACAAATGGTTCAGCATCCCGATCAGATGCATTCGAATTCCCAACTGCCATCTTCAAAGATCACTCTGATGTGGAATAAAATCAGTTAAAGCTAGAAACAACTGCGCCCTTCACAAACTTAAAACTAAAACAAGTAAAGATCTGGATGAAGAAATGCAAATGCCATACGATATTAACAAAATTGGAAATGGGATTTTTTACCATCACTCTCTAAACATGTAGACACATTCGTACGGCGATACTACAAAATCATCAACAGGCAATCTAATAACTAACCAAAAGGAAAAGAGCAAAATAAATTAGAAACTTCGAGAATCAAAATTGTAAGGTAAAGAAAGATTAGCTCCAACGCCGATTCATAATTTTTTTTTTCCGGCTACAAATCTCGATTCATTTGAAGTTTTTAACTACAGAACTCGGTTTCAATTGCGTAAATGTATCTCCATACACAATGATGCATGAAGAACACAAGGAAACACAATTCAAGCAAACAACAAAACCAAGAACAAGTTGGAAAAATTATTTATTGAAGCGCTAATCATGCTTAATTATATGAATTTGAAGCCAACAACAGCAAGAAAGATCGTAAGAGACTGCTAAATACATCAAGATTAATCAAGACTACTGCTAATTACATCAGGATTAATCAAGTAAACAAGTAATTAATGTTGACTCGAGCTAGGATTACAGGACTCCATTTCTTATAGCATGCAATTCTAGAGAGAGAGTACCTTGAGATTCTTGGGCAAACGCAGTGAAGCTCTTGGACGCAGAGAGGGAAGGCGGTATTTAGAGCTCCCGGGAAGCGGGGAGCACTGGCTACTAGACGACGTCGTATGGCAACGGAATAACGACGCAAACTTTGCTTTTTCATCTGTTTCCGTGTCAAAAAAAAAAAAAAAAACAAAAAAAAAGAGATCAGGCCGTCAGAGACTCTCGGAATAGGATCTCTCCGGATGTTATTTGTGGGGATCTAGATGATTAATTAATCGTATCCGTTCATCGTATATTATGTGATTAAAAATTATTTAAAATTGAATATAAATAGTATCTAATGAAAATTAGACATACGATGTACGATGAACGAACACGATTAATTGATCTCTGGATTCTCAAGAGGATCCTTGTTCCGAATATAATCCTGTTTTGGAAACACGTGTGAGGTTGCCCTTTTTCCATTTTTTTTTTTGTCATGAGAAACAAAAAGAAAACGTAGATGACACTTTTACCGTAGTAGAAAAAAGTAATTGTTCTGTACACCGAATACCGAAATGATTGAAAACCAAATCGAACCGAAAACTATTGGTTCAGTTTTAGTTTGATGGTTAAAAAACCGAATTGAATGAATATAAATTAATATATTTTTATTTATTTATTTATGTTGGGTGTTTATTTCCAAGTTCGATTCCAAATGAACTATTAGTCTAATTTCAATCCAAGGTTAAGTAAATCTAACTTTAAGCCCAAATATGTTGAAAGTCTTATTCCCCAAATTTTTTTTTCTTCATTTCCTTTCAAATTTCTAGGTTCAAACGTAAAAGGAAAAAAAAAAGAAAAAAACTAAAACCAAACTGAAGAACAAATTGCAAAAACCAAACCGAATTGTAATTTCAGTATAATTTTCGGTTTTGGAAAAAAAAACACTGAATGAAACAGAACCCACCCCTAGTAGAGATAGAGATAAGGTGTCATGCTTTGATAACATGTGGGTGAGTGAAGAGAAAAAAAAAAAAAATTCCTTTTGTGCGTAATTTGCTGAATATCCATAATATTTTCTTTTCTATTATCTCTGTTGACTTGTGAATAGAGGCATAAATCATCTTTTCACTCTCTTTTAGTTGATAATGAGAATCTGTTAATAGATAATATAAATTCATGTGAAAATATATAAATTAGTTGTAGTTATTTCAGTACTCAAGTCTAAGTGTTTGTAAATGCAAGCAAAATACTAATCCATTTTCATGTGATGTAAACTTAATACTAAACGTGTTATCGTACACGTGAATTAGGTTAGTTGATCAGCACATTGCGTCCGGCCATGAATGCACGCTTGATTGTTCACCGTCGTAGTTAAGAATATCGGAGGGCTGAACCAAAAAAATCAAAATTCAATCAAAGTTCAACAACTTGGCATGTGAAGCTCGTGAAAGTATTGACCGTGTGACCAAAAATTCCAAAACTGGCTGCCCATCAAGAGCCAAAGACGTATCTGGATGGTCAATCAGAATAAAGTTCACACAGCACCCGTGCCTGAATCCAACATTTCCAAATATTTCTCAAACCAGAAACCCTTTTTTTCTCCCCAGAACAAGGAACTGAGTTCATCGCCTATGCCAAACAATTTTACCAGAAATCACATTTCCCATGAGGTACAATATCAGAGTGTATCGAAGCTAGTGAGAAAACATGTGAATATGTACTTGACTGGCCTTTAAGAGATTCGGAGGCACGGATGCCGGATTCAAACTCAGTTCCCGGTTCAGGCAAGCAAATCTATCTCAACTTTAATGACCGATTTGTAAACGTTCAAAATGTTGAGGTGGATTTAGGCAGAAAGAAAAGATTTACAGGTTGTTTCTAATGACATTTAGTATGCATTACTATGCCGAGAAAGCTCGTATCCTCAACAACATGATATACTCAGCAATCTGAAAAACGAAACAGAAAATGCAGCAGGATTGTTGATTATACAAAAGCCCATTTGGACATCCCTCTCTATGAAGCAGCAAAATGTCGAATGATACATATCCCAATCTAAACTGAAATTCTGAAGGAAATTCAAACAAAGGAACGTAGTGCCAAATTACTAAGGTAGTCAAATATGTAACAGCATCCAAAGTGACATTGATAAACCAGCACAGAAATTTTACATATATAGTTGAAAACAGAAGGATTATCCAGTGCCAAACAAAGCATTGATTACTACAATGGAACATCATAACAAAGAAAACTCCAAATTACCAATGAGGATTAGTGCCCTCCCTTGCAGCAGAAGGTGATCTCGATACGATACTAGCATGGCTTCCGAGCCTCGACACACTCCGTCCACCTTTAGGAGTAGTAAACCCTGGACTTGAACCTCGGTAACTGGCACGAAGAGTTTCATCAATAGAAGACGAGGACTTGCCCATTGCATCTCTTACAAACTTCTGAGCAGCAGGGGAGAGTGTCCGCACACTTGGACTGGCACTGCCACCTCTAGAAGGCGATGGCAGAGGTGGCTTGTGAAACAATTTTGACCTTTCCCTCAATTTGCGTGCAGCTTCCCTTGACAGCGAGTGAGCCTTTTCGTCTCTTACAGGCGGGCATGGGATCCTATATTGAGGCCCTTCACTGCCACCAATATCAACTGGATTGTCCTCAAGATCCAACCTCAGAGGTGTCCCTTCAATTTCACCCCATGTAATAAACGGTGATTCATCAACACCCGGTGCAGGCGAGGGTGTCTTCACAAAACGATAACCATTATCCGCTTTCTTCTCCGATTCCACATAAAACGGATTGGGCGTCTTTCTCAAATCATCCAAATCATACTTCTTCAACTTATCCCCATCTCTATCCATAATAACTGGGGTTGCACCTGCAACTGTGGTATAGAGAAACTCAGCCATAGCGTCCTCCTTTGGCCTGGAATCCATCGTCTTCCCATTAAATCGCGTGTTGGGTCGATTAATTTCCTTCTCCAAACTCTTCATCCTATTCGCACGTTCCTCCTCTGTCAAGGGAGCCTCACCCCGATCAGCTGGATGGTACATCAACAAATTCTTTGCCGTATACTTCCACCCATCCAATGTACTAGGCGGCTGATCCGACGTCCCATACCCATCTGTAATCCTATCCCTCTTCACATCCTCAATCGATTTAACCTCCTCCTTTTCGCCTTCCGTCAAATACTCATATCTCTCCTTCCTCTTCCTATTCACCTTCTCCAAAATATTCGAAAAACTATAATTGTCCTCACTCGTATACCGCCTTAAAAACTGATCAAGCGACAATGATCCCTCCACGCTATCATCACCGCCGCTTGACCCTACCTCACCAGACAATCCCACATTCGAAGCACCCGGGGTTTTCGGGGTTTTACCATCAAATTCATCGGCAGGGGTATAACTACGCATAAAAGTCGAACCTGGGGTTCTACCATCAGGGTCAGGATTATGAGTTACCTTCTTTCCGCGGCGCTCGATGATCTTCAACTGGGCATCTCGGATCTGAATCGGGTCGCGGGTCTTGATCGCTTCGAGCCAGTCGAGGCGGTCCCGAAGCTTGGAAATATCGGGAAAGAAGTCCCTTTCGATGATCTTCTCGATCGCGGCGACATAGGTGTCCTCGTCGAGGACCTTGGGATGGCCTTTAGGGTTCTTGGGTGTGATTTGGGTGGAATTTGTAGGGTTTTGGACGGAAGCATCAGAATTTGCAGAGGGCGAAGGGGATGAGAGGTGGCGAGGAGAGTGACCCGGAGTGAGAAGCATTCTGCTTCTGGATTAGGGTTGGGATTTGGGACGAGGAGATGGTGGGATTGGAAAGGGGAGAAATTGAGGGTTTTGGCAAGAATTAGGGGACGAATTTTGGGAATTAGGGTTTGAGGTTCGGGTGTGGATTGGATTGGATTTGGAATTGGGGCTGATTTAGGAAGGGACACGAAACGCGTGCGCATGTGTGTGGCGGCGTATGTTCTGACGCGCGTAATAAAGTATTGCCGGTAGCTCCTGGCAACTTGTCTTAAATGGATTTTTTTTCAAAAATATTTATTTGCTTTATTATTTATTTTAACAAAAAGAAAATAAGTTTTAATATTTTGGTCTAATTATACTCAAATTTCACTTTATTTGAAAGAAGATATATAAGTTCAAATTTTATAAATAATAATTGTTGAATAAAAAAAGTTGCTTCAATATATCTTTAAACACACAGTTTCTAAAATTTTAGCAATAAATATCGATGAATTTCAACAAAAAAAATTATTTACTCGAAATTCACCTTTCGTTTATGTGTTATACAATTACAAGAAACTATAATTATATTTTTTTGGAAATTTCTTTAAATTGTATCAAGTATATTATCCTAACTCTTTAATTAAATGTAACTCTCATATGAACAGAAAATAGAGCAAAAGTGTTTGCAACTACAAGAAAACGTGATATTCCTCTATTGAGTCTGAATGTTTTATTTTTTTATTTCATATAGAGAGAACTTAAACCAACTTTTTACTTCTTAGTGATCTTCTATTCACAATATTTAAACGTGTCTCAAGCTCAATATCTCCTTTCCATCAATTTTAAAACCAAAATCAATATTTAAACGTGTCTCAAGCTCAATATTTAAATTTTTTTTTCGAAAATATTTATTTGCTTTGTTATTTATTATTTATTTTAACAAAAGAAAATAAGTTTTAATATTTTGGTCTAATTATACTCAAATTTCACTTTATTTGAAAGAAGAAGATATATAAGTTCAAATTTTACAAATAATAATTGTTGAATTAAAAAAAAAAAGTTGCTTCAATATATCTTTAAACTCACAGTTTTTAAAATTTTAGCAATAAATATTGAGGAATTTCTACAAAAAAAAATTATTTACTTTAAATTCACCTTTCGTTTATGTGTTATACAACTACAAGAAACTATAATTATATTTTTGGGAATTGCTTTAAATTGTACCGAGTGTATTATCCTAACTCTTTAATTAAATGTAACTCCTATATGAACAGAAAACAGAGCAAAAGTGCTTGCAACTACAAGAAAAACGTGATATTCTCTCTATTGAGTCTGAATTTGTTATTTTTTTATTTCATATAGAGAGAATTTAAACCAACTTTTACTTCTTAGTGATATTCTATTCCCAATATTTAAATGTGTCTCAAGCTCAATATCTCCTCTCCATCAATTTAAAAACCAAATTCAAATTAATGTCATTTTGTCTTCTGGAAGCATAAGATAGCAAAAAGAAAATATAAAATTTTCTACTTTAAAAATGTTTTTTATTTTTTATTTGTTTTTTTAGTAAAATATTCGGTAATTCAATTAAAAAATGATTTTAAAATGGGCCCCGCTGCACGGCGTAATTACAACACCCTGGAAGTGGCGTTATCACGGTCCAAACTCCAAGAAAAAGCCTATGGCCCACGTGCTCAAGATTCGTACGGCTTATAACCAATCAAACCGCCGGACAGCTAAAGGAACAAAGATTCTTCCGTGCACCTAATCACAGGTAACAAATATCTCTCCTCCCCCTCTTTCTCTCCCCCCATCGGATTAGACTTTTGGCAAAGACTCAGAGAGCTTCGACTCGTTTCTCTCACTGCCACCCAGCTCCTCCCTGCGTCGCGCCAGCTCAATCACCACCGCCGACGTGATCTACGGCTCTGATTCAATCTCCGCCGCTGGCTTCCTGCGGAATTGGAGCAACTGATCGCAAAATTTATAGGGTTTGTAGTTTTCTCTTTTGGTACTGTGTGTATAGGGTTTGTACGAGTTCCAAAATTTATTCTTTTGAGATTAATTTTTTATTTTTTTTTAATAATGGTACTGCTTTTTTTTTTTTTTTTTTTTAACCTAATTGACCTGAAATCATGGGCTTTGATTTTTTTTATTTGTTTTGATTTTTTAATTATTTGTTGTAGTTGTAGCTCTTGATTAGCATATGCTCTGTTTGGTTGCTGAGAAAGTGCTAGAAAATTGCGTAATTGAGTCCGTAATTTTCCATTGCTTTAGTTTCATTTTCATGGAACCTCACGGAACTGAGCTAATCATTTAACTCAATAGTTAATTTGTTAAAAGTTATGAACTTGTGTTTTTTCGAGCTAAAATTTATATTTCTAGGTAAATTTTGCGTGGTATTTTTCTAATTTTTTTGTTCTCCCTTGTAAAATATGGACAAACAGAAGTATTGAAAATTTTGGTAGAGCACGAACATCCTAAAACCGTATCAAAATTTGAAACATTAGTGGCGAAACTGATTCACCTGCTCAAGTAATATGCTTAACCAAATTAAAACAATACGGATTAATTCATATACACGCGTCCGCACACATAGAAAACTCATCCATTCACATTAATAACTGAGGACTAGGAGGAGTGTCGTCTGTCATTTCTTTTTAAAACGGCAATTGTGGTGTTCGTGATCTTCATTTAACTATATTGGGACATTACCTTGTGACTGCTCTGATCTATTTTGCAGCTAGCAAGTCCTGAACGTGCCGTTCTTGTCCTTGCTTTAAACGATCAGAGTTGAACAACCTGCTGCATTGGCATTTTTTTCAAGGGCAAGATCAACTGTGATGGTGTCATCCTGAGCTGAGTTGTAGGGTGTGATAAAGAATCAAGTTCACATGATTTCTCGAGGGGAAGATGGGACAGATAAAGTTGCTTCTGATGTAGTACGGAAGAAAGAGAGTTCTGATAGTGAAATTAATGTGCCACATCAAACTCCTAATAAAGGGATCTGTCCGTTGCAATCAGATCATAAAGGAACCTGCTCAATTGCTAACACCTGAGAAAGCGTCACAGGTGCCTGATGGAGTTGTTAGTGCATCACAACCAAATCAAGAAGGAAGTGCTTCCTCTTTAACATCTGAGAAAACCCCACAAACCCCTGAAACCACTGCACTTGCCTTGCGATCTGGTCAAGAAGGAACCACTCCATCTACTACACCTGAGAGAGTGTTAGACGATGGTTATCACTGGAGAAAATATGGCCAGAAACATGTAAAGGGAAATTCATATGTAAGAAGTTACTACAGATGTACGCATCCAAAATGTGAAGTGAAGAGGCAAGTGGAACGTAAACAAAGTGGCCAGATAACAGATACCATATACTTTGGTGAGCATGAACATCCTAAAGTCCAAGGTGTCCCAGCAGCTGTTAGTTTTGTTGTGTCCATTGTTGACGACGAAAGACCAGAAGTGGTTTTGGAAACTGATGGTGAAGGTGAGAATGAATCTTAGTTGTTATCTGATTATGGTTCTTACAATGCCAAATCTTGTTTAATTTATTTGATGACCTTGTTTTTGAAGATAAATCGTCCAATGCGCATGGCCACACATCTAACCAGATTGAGCCAGTAGATCCCCCACAGCTTTCAAGCGTTGCAGTTACTGAAGCCGTGCAGGGTGTGCACGCTCAGTCAAATAGAACAAGAGATGGCGATCCTGACCCTAAAAGACAGTATGTTCTTGCAATAGCTATTTTGAATTTTCCTTTGCACTGGTATATAACACTTACCTTTGTTTAACTGATATTGAAAAAATAAAAAATATATCAGGAAGAAGGCAAAACATAAAGGCAACTCATTACCCGTGGTTGTTCAGACTTTGAGTGAGGTTGATATAGTGAGTGATGGGTACAGATGGCGCAAATATGGGCAGAAATTAGTGAAAGGCAATCCAAATCCAAGGTATAATCAGTTTGATGCTTCCATGTATTGACGATTTATATGAGGCATGCACCAAATTTCCACTCTGCTCATTGGTTTGGAATTACAGAAATGCACTGATCACGTCTGATAGTTTCACTGCTATGCAGACTAAATTTCATTACGAACTTTGGCCTGAGAGCTGATTTTATCAGCTGATATGAAATTTAACCCCTAATCTTTGTGCTCGATCTGGTAAAGAAAAATTTTAACTCATCATTAGCAAGTTTGCAATCGCTATCATTAAACTGCAAATGTAATATGATGTGAAAGTATTTTACACGCTATATTCCACCCATGATCTGATTCTGGACTATGGACAAAATCGACGTTGGAGTCTAATGGTGCAAGCCAATGTCTGTCATGGTGCCTTTTTAACAATTTCATCAAAAACCTGTGCAGTCTGAGACTTGCATGTGCAGTAATTGCGTTGATCACATAGGACATTCTCTTTTTCTTCTTGTAACTTGCGTATGCATCTCTAGTCTTGTATCTTGCTCTTGGGATAAACTGGAAGAATTAGATATTTCTACTTCTAAGACAATAGTGACTACGTATCTTTGAGCTTTGTTCAAACATGACCTGCGTCTTGTTTTATTTAGTTTGGTCTTGTTTGGTGTCAATGTCATATAATGATGTGAACGGAATCAATTTGTGTTTCAAAGTTTTCAGTTAATCTCGTTGGCATTTTTTTTATTTGTCTTACTTTCTTTGGTATACTGTGTTGCTGACTCTGCTCTGCTTCTGCACTTGCATTATGTAGGAGTTACTACAGATGCTCAAATCCTGGATGCCCTGTTAGGAAACATGTAGAGAGGGCGTCTCATGATTCGAAAGTGGTTATAGCCACATATGAGGGGCAACATGATCATGATATGCCCCCGACAAGGACTGTCACCCATAATACAGCAGCATCCAACGTGTTTACGACAGCCCGCATTAGTGAGTCTGCCACTGTACCCAAGGGGAATGCTGTACGCTGCGAAACTAGCCCAGAACATGAAGTTAAACCAAGCAAGCAACGGAATGATGAGTCAAAAGCTAAATCAAGTGATGTTGCTGGCTCCGATATGGTCGTTGATTCTGATCTGAGCCCCAAAAGAACACTACATGAGAAGTTGGTTGCAAAAGCATGTACCACAAAAGAAAGCGAGCCCCCTTACATGGTTGTTTGTAGAGCAGATCAAATGAAAACTCTTGAGTTGGGAATTAAATCAGAAGGCGATGATATGGTTGTTTGCGACAATCTGCGTCCAGAAAGTAATCCATTGGAGCAAGAAAAGCCGAAAGCAGAACCCGTTGATAGTTAACCTGCAATGCTGGATCTAGATTCATCGACGCCCTAAATAATGTATCAATGCATCAGGACAGGGCCTGGAGCTAGGGTTTATCTTATTCATTGTTCCTCTTGTTTTCGATTCGGGAGAGGATGCTCTGGTGGAATGCCAATAACGATCAACAGCGGATTGGAAAATTAACAAAAGTTGTGTAAATTATTTATATAGACTGAATGACCTCAGAGATGTAGAGATTAGACTAAGGAAGGAGGACTCATGTCATGTTAGTACTTATATATGAAGGTTGTATCGCATAGTGTACTTGAATAATTCTGGGCTTGTGATATCGATTGTTGCGATTTAAACGCTGTAGTTTACTAATTGTTGCGATTCAAGGACAATGGTGTGCTTCCATTCCGCCGCTCGGCCAACGGAGTTAGCACGAGAGGAAAGTGTAGTGTTTATACACAATCCAAAAAAGTACTAACTTAACATCCCATATCATTCCGATCTACGGTTAGGCCGGGACGATCGATACTAGAGAGAACAAAATGAAACTTGGCTTAATCTGAAAGGAAATTTTGTTTTGGTCAAAAGTTAGGTGGGGTTCAGAGAGGGAAAGGGGGTGGGGAGTCTCGAACGCGAGAGAGGAGGGCCACAAGAGTGCTTGATTTCTGCTATGGCACTAACCCTCCTCGAATGGACAAAATTCATAATCTGACCTAAATTAATGTGCCTTAAAACCCAAGTAATTAGAGTATGATGAACATGGAAAAGAAATCTCCCAGTCCTTTCCTTCAGTTCTCTTTATTTGATGGTATTTAGACTTAAACTTCCTTAAAAAAAGGAAGGAAAAAAAAAAAACATTTGGCCAATCCAGGCCAACTCTCTCTCTCTCTCTCTCTGAGACAACCATGAAATGGCTCCTTACAACAGTTGGCAGCTTACAATTGTACGAACACATGAAAAAACATGTTCTGTTCTCTAAGCTTGCCTCACCTCCATTCGGAAAAAGAAGCATCAATTCGTGCTCGGTTTGCACCTCCATGCGCAAGAAGCAACCAAATCTCTGTTCTTCCAACCAAGATAGAGTGCTCCATCTCGCTCTTCAAGTCGATATTTGTCTGAGTAGTTCTCTAGCAGCGTCTTGATGGTGGCATTTACCAATGAGCTTAGAGGGTATGGTGTAAATCCAGCCATTGCGAAGCGCAACCTCCATTTCCCAACAAGTTCGTGTCTTTCCACCCTCTCAATGCCCTCACACGCTATTATGTTAACAACCTCCCTAGCCAAGCAGTGTTGCTCCACATTGATCCGCTCCTTGTGATCCCTCGGAAGAGTAACATCAATTGACTCAAACATAGCTGTGTAGTAATCTAGAGTTTCTACAAAGCGTGGATAAAATGCAGCAGTATTTGTGTTAGATTCTTGCTCAACAAGGGTCACCACTTTCGGAGACAAGCTCTTAACCAACCTCAACAGCCTATCCCGATGGTTCTGAGTGCTGACACTTTCATCTGGCATGCGGTGCAGCATGAATGCAAAGTTCATAGCCAAAGCCTCCCCAGGTCGAACGCCAAGATGCTCCAGCTGAACGTCGCAGCCAGACATGGCTGCAGCATGAAACTCAAACGGCACCTTAAACAACTCAGCAAGTTTAGACAGCCTCTTTCCCACAATATTTAGTCCTCCTCCACGGGCATAAGCTGACATGGAGTCGTCAATACCTGTTATACGGATATGGGGTGGTCCACCAGGTCTGGATGCAAAAGCCTGGATTAGAGTGATCCACTGACTCCCCTGACCAATTTGGAAATCAATGATGTGAACTCGGTTCTCGTCCTTCATGGCTTCTGCAATGGCTCCATTTGCAGACATGTACCCAAACTTGAAGTAGGGACAAACCTCATAAAGAATGTGCATGTAAGAGAGGAGCTCAGAACTCGCTGGTTCTTTGCATCTCAGTGCTTTGTAAATGTTACTCCCTGAGGATGCCATCCGTGCAACTAGTCCTTCCAGCAAGTATGCCCCCAACCTCTGAATCGGTTCACCTGAAACTGATACCATCTGGCGTAACTCATCCTTCATCCATTGTGCCATTAACAGATCATTATCAGCTACTGCTTTTGCGAAGAAGATGAGGACTTGCTTCAAATCCTTTTTAGAGATTGTTTCCATAATCTGTCCCCAGCTGTCCGTGTCTGGCAGGGTATTGCTCGCTCCATTTGGGACATTGATGCAATAGTTATCAAGAATATTCGAATCAGGACCCAGCATTACAGTTTCTAATTGTTTCAGCTTGTACTTGAAGTCAGGTGCATCATCAGTTATGCAGGATCCACTTATCGGAGGGCTGTAGGTCTGGTCAGGGGAATGATACCGCTCAGACGGATACGAATGAGAGTCTTGCTGTGACATTGGGCTTCCACTAGGTGAGAAGCTGACATTTGATGGGGAGTTATAAATGGTGTAGCTACCATCAGACCAGGAAGACTCCAAAGTGCAGTAGCCGAAACTCTGCATTGGGAGATGGGTACTTTGGCAGCTCTCGTTGTAGTGTAGCTGGGGGTCCAAAGTTTGGAACCGAGGCAAGCAGTAGGCTTCTACTTCTTGGATTGGCTGATAATGCAACCGGTTTGACATCCCTGAACTTCTTTGCTGCTTCGATGCTTGCATTGAAGAGTAGTCTGTTGCCAAAAAGTGTCCTTCTATATGTGTTATCCAAACTTCGTCAGAGCTGTAAAGGAACCTTTGAATTCGCTTGCCAGAAGCATTATCTGTATGACAATAAGAGACCTTGGTTACACAGATATATGGAACAAAGAGGGCACGACATAATACAGAACCAGCATAATCTGCAGAAAAAAATAACGAGATCTGTGCAATAACGCAAAGATGAGTGAAAAGCATGAGGAAAAATGATAAGATTTAGTCATTATGCAATTCGGAGTTAGGAGAGGCTGAAGTGGAGTTCTTGTAAATGGAAAAGACGGTGCATGATAGCCTAATAGTTCACTAACAATTTTAGTTAGAGAACAATTAAAGAAATTTGCATTAGCAAAATAAAGGTAAATCTTTTGAGAACAATTTCACAATTTCAACCTCAAACTTATTGATCTCAGCAGTTAAGAAAGCAAGTACAAAACCTGTTGTTTTAATTCCTTGGTGTTTCCAACCTGGAGTTTATTCACCAATAATCCAGTATAGCAAGAATGCAACCACAATTACACGGCCAGATAAGCGTATGTAAAGTGAAGAAAAACGCTAACAAATCGTAAAAAACCTATATAAACAGAAAAAAACATGTGAAAAGAATCTAAAATGATGAACATGACACATGAAAACCGGTAGAGAACCAATCCATCCAATCCATCAATATGATTATGCAATTAAAGGAGATTAAAAAGTTTCAAAAAACAGAAATTGACAATGATCATACAATTACTGGTGCAAAATTAGCCTAATTTCCAATAAACTATAAAACCAAATGATCTCAAATCTCCACGGTAAACTTCCAATTAACAAGATTAGCTATTCTCCCAACAACTCTCTTCTCTAACCCTTTAACCACTCTCTATTTCCACATTCTTTCCATTTCGACAACGAAAAAAAGTACGAAACTCTCCAGCCAAATGAATCACAAAAGAAATAACCGCGGTGAATTCAAATTAATACTTTAACTATAGAATCAGGAAGTTAAACAAAGAATGACCATTTCACCACCAAATCATCATCCCAAAGCACTCAGGAAAACAGAAACAACTTAGTGCTCGTTTGGAAGTGCTTCTAAAATGACTAAAAGCGCTTTTGTTAAAAATATGTTTGGAACCAATCCTTACGAAAAATGCAAGTGAATCCTGGAAACGCACACAAGAAGCACATAACTAGTGCTTTCTGCTGGAAGCACTTCTAGTATTTTTTAAACCCAAAAATATTTTCACTAGAAGCGCTTTCAGTCATTTTAAAAACACTTTGTAACGAGCCCTTAATTTTTGGCTCCAACACCATTGAATTCGAACCCAAATTTTCGATTTTTGAGAAACCCCATTGGTTTTAAGCCAATGATAAAGTTTGAAACTTTCCACAAACAATCAAATGTATAGTTCATAAAGCAAAAGGGCCACCAAATCTCAACAAAAACAAGAGTTTCATACTTGAAGCTTCAGTCTTTCCAGAAAGAGAAAAAAACATGGATATCGAAACCAGAGCTCCATGAAATCCACCAAAAGGAGAGCAAAGTTTGTATATAATATACCTTAAAGCAACATCACCAACCCATTTCAAGTAACAGAGAAACCTCCATGAAAACACAACTCAGAGCTCGAAACATTCCCAAAAAGGAAATGACTGGTTTGCAACACCAACAGAATGGCCAATTTAAAACAGAGGATTTGAATGGAAAAATTAGTAAATGATGACTTCCAATTTGAAAATACCAAGTCTTTGGTTGAAAGGAATAGGAATACCTTGTTTGAAGGAATTTGAAGATTGGAATTCCACCCCAGACCAGTCTTTTTCTGACAGTGGGAGTGACTCGGTGAGAGAGAGAGAAGAAGAAGAAGAGAACCCACCTGTGGAATATAAAAAATTCTGATTTACAAAAAGCCCTTTAAATATTGTGAAATTACATTACTACCGGGGGGATTTGTTTGTCTGCAAGTTGTATAACCCTTCACTGCAACAACCACATGCTCCATGTCCAACCTAACACCTAAAAACCAGAAAGACGATCATATTAATTAGAACGGATGTGCTCTAGGTATGCAATTTTGTTCAAATTCTGCTTCCTATAATTTAATTTTCTTTAGCAAATCCTATGATTTAATTTGGCTTACAATTGTATAAAATAAGATACTAATAAAGTAATAATGAGACCAGTATACCTTTTTTCATAATCAATGGAAGTAACGAATATCAGAATTTTAGTGGGCCGTTTTAATAAAGTTATTCTATCACTTACAATATCTAACCACATGTTTAAGTTTGAGCGAAGTTGATTTTACCAATATACCCTTTTGATTAGTATAACTAAGCCATGTGTTGCTTGCTTATACTTGGATTGATCATTTTAGTCTTTTAGATGAGCTGGTTTATTTTCCCTCTCACATGCACATTGGAGCAAGTCAGCATGACATCAACTAATCCAACGGCTGATTTCAGTTTTGTTATTGGTTCTTGGTTCTTGGTCAAGCAAGTCAGCCATGCTCCTCACTTGCAAATTCCTTCTATATACAGATTATGTTGGTTGGTTGATCTAAATATTATGGTCAAGGTTTTACAAGACCCTAGCGGTGGTCACAGCAGGCTGGGGTTTAGTGCCTAAGCGGCTAGCGGGACCTAGGAGGGGTCTAAACGAATTTAAGTAAATTTATTATATATTGTATAAATAAGTACATATTTATACTTAAAAAAATAAAACACATAATTGTATTGGACTACATAAGTTGCAAAAAAAAAAAAAAAAAATGACCTATAGATTTTTATTTAAAAAATGACAAATAGATTATAAAGTATTTGAACATATTGAAAACATGGGGAAAAAAACATATAATAAGCATTCATCCAAGTATTCAACAAATTTCTTACATTTTATTGAAAAAATAAAATGCAAAATAAAAGTTATTGATTTTTCTATCTAAGTCAGGTCGCAACCTAGGCGAGTGCCTATGAGGGTTTAGGCAAGCTAGGCTTTCAAACGCATAGGGACTAATCGAGACAGTGGCCAACGGCGTAGGCAGTGCTAGGCAGAAATTTTTAGAACAATGATTATGATCCCGACTCCAAAATCAACCCCATTCCCGTGTCGTATTAACGGTTTGAATGAATCCACCAGCATACGTCCAACAAACATAAAACTGCTATTTATAGCGTTATTCACAAGCTAATATCATCCCTATTCCTGTATCGTGTTAACGGTCTGAATGAGTCTACGAGCGTATGTCCAACTGACATAAGACTGCTATTAGCATTATTCACAAGCTAAATTCAATTTAATCTAGAAGTAGTGGGCTAATTTTGTTGTAAGCGGAAGGGTAGCATGGTAAGGTTCAGGGTTTAGTGGGACTAATTACCAAGTTATATATATGAGAAAGTGATATATATATATATATATATATATATATATGTATATGAGAAAGTGATACACACGTTATATTATGTATATTAGAAAGTGACACACACGGTTGAGCATGGAGAGAACCTTATTATGGTCATTAAAGTGATAAATTAAGATGACATAGGAAAGTTCAAAGTAGTGCCTTCCACTTGACCTTCTTTGTCTTTCCTAAAAAAAGATTGAGATTCTCTCCGGATTTCACACTTCAAAGCTCACAAATCGATAAATTTAGAGTACTCAGTTTAAATTATTCAATTTCCATTAGCCTAATCTATTGGCACCTTACATACAATCTCTCTCTCATAAACAGTATGAATTTTTAGGTCAGTGAACTTTAGAGTTTGAGGGTTCTGAAACGTTTATTTTCTGGGTTATCATTTAAACATCAATTCTACTTCAAATCAACTGACTCTGAAATTGTTAGTCATCCAACACTTATCAAATGAAAGAAGAAGAAAAAAAAACTATGTTATTCAAACCCTAAAATTCCTTCCTCGTTGTTGGGACTTGGGTATTCGAAGTGCTTATTTTTGGTCAAGCACTTTATGCGCATGCTAATACATAAAATACAATATTTATTTGAAAGTTGGAATATTATGATTGCAGAAATCACAAAGCGATCCTAATTTTTTGAAAAAAAATGAAGATTAGGTGTAGAGCTCATTCCACATTAAATTTTAATAATCTGAATTGTCTATTTTATTAGTCTTAATTCATAGAATATCCTTGCAAAAATTTAATTCAATCTGAAATCATTTGCCTATTTAATTATCAAAATCAAATTTCATTGTTTCTTATATAACAAAGTATTCATTCATTTCTTTGAACTCCATTAGATATCTTAAATATTTCCGATTTGGCTAATATTTTGTAAGAATGATCTATGAGGTACAACTTGAAATATAAACGGTTCATATTGTTAAAATTCGATATGATGTGGACTCCACAACTAATCTCCATTACACACACACACACACACACACACACACATATATATATATATATATATACCAATTAAAAGTTATGAACAATAGGTCAATGAGACTTTAAGATACATTAAAACACCTCAATCAAATTAAAATTACAAATGATGCCATTATCATTTAAAACACCAAAATTTTCCATCTCCCTCATTGTAAATTGCATAGTAGCCATAAAACAGTCTCAAACTTCAACCTTCAACCTCCCCTGCTTCCCACCACCTTCAGCCTCCATTTTTCGGCCTCACAACACCTTCAACCTCCATTGCCTCCTACCACCTTCATCATCAGACAAACAATTCGCACTTGCGACTGAAAAATCATGATCAAGGTAATTTGTTTCTTCCTATTTTATTCTTGTTCTTCAATTTTTACGTTTTAGGTTATTTGAGTTATGGTTTTGAGAGATTTGGTGTAATTTTGCATACTATAACTTTTGGTTTTGAATTTGAGCTTGTTTGAATGTTAAAATTGGTTTGGGCATATAACAAATTTAGTCTGTTTCAGCATATTTGTTGGCTTTGTGTATGTTTACTCATGGTGGTTATGTCATTTAGTTTAATCGTTATGTCCTGTGTTCTGTGATTTTACATTTAGATTCAAATAGGTTTGTAGATTCAAACACTGCAACGCATTATCTGTTTCTTGTTCTATGGATTCAGACACTTCGTTGCAGTGTTTGTTTCCTGTTCTATGATTGTGCATTGAGATTCAAATAGGTTGGTGGATTCAAACACTTCGTTGCGGCGTCTGTTTCCTGTTCTGTGATTCTACATTCGTTTTCAAATAGGTTTGTGGATTCAGACATTGCAACGCAATGTTTGCTTCTTGATCTGTGTATTCAGACACTTTGTTGCAGTGTCTATTTCATGTTCTGTGCTTTTACGTTAATGGATTCAGACATACAATATTAATATCGCTAACACAAACTTTATATTTTTTTTTTCTTTTACAATTGAAACACGTCCCAAAAAAAAGTTAAAGGGATACATAAACAAACGAAAGAGAAAATGATGGATATTATTGATTTGCACTCGAGAAAGAGAAAATGATGGATATTATTGATTTGCACTCGGGAGGATATTACTAATTTGCACAATGGAAAGTGTTGTTAGTTTTATATAGCCTCTCATGGAAAATTTGGTTCTAGTTTTGTGATCTATATTTTCTAAGCCATAAATATCTCTACTGGCCATATATATGGTTCTAATTAATATGAAAAAATTTCCATGGGGTCAACTTTACTTTTCGTGGTACGAACCCTTATCAGGTTCTACCTTGAGGGGCTGTTAAGATTTGGAGCTAGGCAACGAGTTTTGATAGGGAGTAGATAAGAATCAGAGAGGGAAGAACATAGAAATAGAAAAAAGAAAAAAGAAAAAGAAATAAAGTTAAGAGATAAGGGTATAATGGTATAATAGTTATTTTCTAACTCGCTTAACTCATGTGACATGCTTCATTGATTTATGAATAATTATTATAAATATTTGATTGATTATTTCCTAAAAGAAAATTGAGTATTGATTTATGAATAATTAGTAAATATTTTATTAACCTTTAGCTAAATATATATATATATATGCCGAGGGGAAGGAAGTAATTTACTTTGTAGTTGACGGTTAAAACCCGGATCTTGGTTCTTTATGACAACTTTGCACGTGTTAAAAAATAAGACTACATTTATAATTCTATGATTAAGTTTTATGAATAATTTGATTTGCCTAATCCTTCATCTTCCTCATTAAAAAAAGAGATAAACCCCGAAAGACTTTCAGACATTGAATCAAACAATGTTTATCCTTCCTGCAAGTGATTCTCATCCCTAGATATGATTTAAGATTTATGTAAATCTGCGGAATCAAATTTGCAAGAGAAGTTGAGTAAAAAGGGAATCTTGTTGCTTCCTTGTCCCCTCTTATGGCCCCACCATCTTATCTTCAGTCACCCTTTCTTCGTTCCCCCATTTGGCATTTTGTTTTTGTTTAGAGAGAGAGAGAGAGAGAGGAGGGGGGGGGGGGGGGGGGGGGTATTATTTTGCTTCAAGTAAGTATAAGCATTAGCTCATGACTCAAGGGAAAAGGACCTCTAATCTTCTCAAGTGGTTTTATTTTTGTGCTTTCATCGTTTGCATCCAATAAATTCACAAATCAAACATTGATACATGAATCTACATATAGGATATCACTTTCGAGCAAGGATGTTCGCAAATTAAAATTTAAATGAGCATCTTGTCTCGAAATCACATTTAATAATTAAAATATTTCATTTTTCATAGAAAGTAAACACAATCCAACATCCATAACATATAGACACAAAACAAAAGTATTCAACATTTGTTTGAAGTAATGATTTTTGTGGACCCCAATACTAGACCTAGCTAGCAGCTAGGTTATTGTAGGTGGGAGTTGGGAGTTCCTACAGTATTGGAGTATGAAATTAATATTGTCTTCTAATTGACCACAGCTTTCAATAAAAACATTTGATTTTGGACTATGTTAAGTTAAACAAAACTTAACAAATTTAAGGGTGCAACTATATGCCTAAGTTGTATCCTAAAACGTCCCTAGGATCGTACCTAAAGAACTTCGTACAATTTGGTCCCGTTGGGGAGGAAGGCTATCTACGAT